CCCCCCCACACACACACTAATGCAGCAAATACATCTAAGGAATGGTAAGCTGCAATATATTACAATTTGTTTTTGGGTTTAAAAATACTTTAAGACAAAAGCTGTTATTGCTTTGCAATCGCTTTAGATTACCCATTGTTTGAAAAAAATAAAATAATAACATTTATCCCAAAACATTACAATTTCCCTTTAAGATAAAGCTTTCTTTTTTGACATACAGATGGTGTTCTGTTGTGTGCGAATCATGTCTTGGCTAAGGTTCCATACAATAAAGCAGAACAAATTCTAGAGAACAGAAAATCACCCTAAAGTAATCCACAGAAAAGAAATAGCATAGACTACATTTACCAAAGCATAATCCTTCAAAACAGTATTTCACATCCACAAAAAAAAGGAGCTCATAATAGTTAATTACAGAAATATTTTTTCCCCCTAACAGTTAATAAATTGGTATACGTTGGTACATACAAGTGACAAATTGCGGCACCTGGAGAACAAATCTGGCTCCCAATAAGCACCAATCCCTTCCACCCCAAAGTTACTTGGACCAAAATATATACCAAGACAACTGTCTCCTGCAAGCATTGCTTCAGGTTCCACTGACCCACCTACAGTTGCATTACATTACTTTCCATCTCATCTGACACACGCCAGGACTGTCTTCAGTGCAGACACAAAACAGACCAAGGTCTCTGCTCATGTATGTTCAGCAACCCTGTGTAAGCCAATCTTTTGACCAGAGTCACATTTTGTAAACCGTAAGACATCCAAACCTCCAGGTGCCTGCATGCTGTCTCCAAGTCACTACAGAACTCCCAGATACCCTGAAATGCAGAGTGTCATGCAATGCAAATAGTGAGCAGCTTCCATGTTTGCTAGCTCTGGTCTGCACCTTCTATTGTTTGTCTTTTGCTGCCAGGAACTGGTGCATATTTGCATCACGTCAAAATGTCAGATTTAATAATTTTTTATCGTGATATAGTTTGGGCAGGAGAAAAGATTCCATTGTTTGAGGATCATTGGTGAGTGTGTGAGGATCATTTGTCTAAAGGCCATATCCATTGTTTCCTACAAGATAAGAGCATATGGCACTTGCCAATACCATGAATGGCAAAATCACCAGACATTAGCATACCTACCACAGAGTAGGTGATCTTGTGAGTAGCCTAAAGTAGGTGTACTGACAGCTTAAGTGGGAGAAATATAGCTGCATGTAGACCATTACGTTTCCTATTCTACGGAGAGCATTAAAAAAATAAATAAAAAAAAGGTAAAACTGAGCTGTAATTTCTTGCATTTGGGGGTTGTAAAGCACATTGTTCCTTAGCTGACAGATGCAATCTGCCTTATGAGAGATTGGTATTTTCACCACGGCATGTGGGCTTGTACAGCAATATGTAGTGATTCAACATATTCACAAATTGATAAAGTATTAAAAATGCAAATACTAAATATATTCGTTTCCCAATGGTTATGTATGCGAGATGATAAATGTGAACAAAATACAGCTTAGATGTAGGCTTAGGATAAGCTCATGAAACACATATCTTCTAGAATTTGTCCACATACACTCCTCCATGCAAGGTGAAAATACGCACGTAAGGTCAACACATGACAGCTGCTGACATTCTGCTGATCTTACAAAAATAGAAGACCAGATTGCATTAACCCCTGTTTGAAAGAGGCAGAGCAGAGTCAAAGCAGAGAAGCAACTGCTTCTTTAATTTCTTGGGCAGAGGCAGCATGCATTTTTCAAATATGCACATAAAGCAACAAATATACAGCTCCCATCTTAAAGATTAAGAGTACTTGAACAAACTAAGATAATATTTATTACTGTTGCTTGCATTTAGCATTGAACTCCGGGCTGAGAGCTTTACCACCCATTCTCTGCGTTATTTCTTCTGACTAGAGAAAAAAAAGTTACAATTTCTGACCCCATTTAAATATAGTATTGTGTTTCTAGGTGTGTTTTGACAAGTGTTTTCAATGCATAGTAGTTTGTGTTTTACAAGTGCTTCTAAACATGTTAAATGCATGCAAAGCACACGGAATTGGTTCAAAAAAATGGGATTTCTGAACTTGCTGTGAAATCAATTTCTTGGAGCCCATTGAGAGAAAGTAAATTAGAGGCTTTTGGGTCATACGGCCACCTACAGGAGGATTCAACAGTGGCAAACAGAAATGTTGTGGGCCAGCCCAGTATATCCCCTCTTACTCCCAGCAAGCCTCAGTTTTGTGGCAAAGCAGTTCAAAGAGAATAATCATAAACACAGTTTTGCAAGTACAAGTACTGATACATTTTTGTTTATTGTCATGTGACAGTTTTTCTAAAACAATACAGACTAATGATTTCAGGACAGTGGTGGAGCACCAGAGCCAGGTCCCAGCTGCAACCCTGGTAGTTCTCATTAAAATGCCAAGTATCGGCACTGGCACTCGAAAAGTATCGGTGCATCCCTAGAACTATGCATTCCTTTTTAAATACAGAAGCTTGAATGGGACAAAAGTGCTTCAGCTCATACTCTGAATGCAACAACACCAAAAAGACTCATAAGATATATCTGGCCTTTCTGAATTGAGAAAGCAGGTCGGATGACCAGTGAAACGCCTTCAAGAAAAATACAGCAAGTCCAGTTGCCTTGACTTATTTTTTTTACAGATATACCATGACCTGGATAAATAAGAAACTTCACAGACACTAATAGGGTATATTTGACCCTACAGGTAGCAAACTTGCTAAGCAAGGTTACATTCACGCAGGTGGAGGAATCAGAGGAGCATACTTCTCTGCATCCATAGAGGAGAAACTTGTATTTCAGCACTTCTATTACCAATTCTGTTGGACTAAAATGTTTCCAGGCACCAGGGGCAGGAAGAGGAAGTGTTTAGGCAGCGTACAGGAAGGGAAGAGCACAGGCATAACCTCAGCGCTCAAATAATGCTCTTATACAGTTTATTGAGCAAAAAAGTGACACAATAGGGTGTGTGTCCTCCTGGCATGTTCACTAACAGGAGTGGATACAAAATTAGTAATATTTGTGGCAGGTAAAAGGAGGTCATATACATGTATTTAAAAGAGAACAAAAAGGGAACAGGGTGCCACCTCCGTGTGTAAAATCGTTTATTATCAGAATCATCGTGATGAAGGGGGCTTGCCCCTGAAACACGTCAATTTTGGCTGACTGCGGTCGGTGGTCGGTGATGTGACCAGAGGCTACCGTGTTACATAGTCGGGGGGATACCATGTTGGGTTGACAGTGTGGCCTCTCGTTTGTTGTTAAAGCCTGATGAAAACGTTTGTTTGCGAGAACCTATATCCTTTGTTTTATTTATTGTAATAAACGATTTTACACACGGAGGTGGCGCTCTGTTCCCTTTTGTTTTCTATGTTCGTGGTAGAAGCCCCAGAGCTTCAGATGAGCTGCCCCTCAAGTCTGTGTGAAAAACTGTGATAAACTGTTGAAAACTTTGAGTGTGCAACAGCAAGTGGATTGTTCAGCTGCCAGCCATTAGCGCCAAGAGCTAAAGAAAACTTTTTGTCTGATGTATTTAAAGAGGACCTATATCCGCAAAGTGAACATTTCCTGTCATATGGAGAATATAATAAAGGTGAACCGTGGATAATCTTTACCCTGAAAAATGTACCTTCTGCCTTGAATTCCAATATGCTACAACTGTCGGTTGATATGCTGATCAAAATAATTTTCAAAAGCGCATTTTTTTGCATTGGAGACATTAAAGCAATGCAACAGTAATCAGTGGATCCTGAGTACAGCAATGGAGAACTCCAGCAGGGCTGGCACACTGCTTGGGATTTCAGAGCAGCAAAGGCACTATGATGTCACCTTAAAACAGGAAGTTACGAACAGTGGATTTTCAAGATTTGCAGCATTTAAAAAAAATAAAAAAACATTGGGAAATGTACAAGTCATCTTGAACAAATCCAACCACAAAAAGGATAAAATATTAGGGTTGTATGGGATTAGGCGCAGGTGTAATACAGCGCCTAATCCCAATTTTTTCTTAGCTCAAACAGCAGAGGTAAAATTTTCTCACCCTTCCGTTACCAGCCGTAATGTACGCCCAGATGTATATTTATTCCAACACGCAATAAAACAAACAAGCTATTGCAGTGCTCTGTGGTAACTACGCCAGTGGCAGTTATATTTAAATTACAAGGGAAAGCTTGAATTAGAATGAGGTTTGAAAGGCAAGGGCTAAAAGGAGGATTTGGGACCACCAGATCCTCTTACAAATCTACGAATACGAGCTTGTTGTGGAGATAAAATTTCAAAGCCCAACAACAACTGAATTTTCCTTAAAGTGTAATAGAAATTATACACAAAAACCCCTTCTAGACACCGCTCCCAAATAAGCAGATCTCAGATTAGACAAGTGCATACAGCAGATTCTATCAGATTGCTGCAATATTTATTAGGGATGCACCGATATAAATCGGCCTGAAAATGGCACTTTTGGCTAAATGCCGAAAGTGGCATTATGTTGCCGATACATCGGCGCATCCCTGCTTTCTTTCCTCCCATGCTCGGCGCTGCTCTGTGTCCCAGCGGGGAGAAGAGAAAGTGACAGCCAGCCGAGCGCTGCGAGTGGCCGGCGTCTCCCCTCCCACACCGCTCAGCCTCCTATCACAGTCCGGCAGAGCAGTGTGTGTGGGCGGAGACGGCCCGCACTGTCACAGGAGGCTGAGCTCTCCTCCCTACACTGTTCGATCAGCCTCCTGTGACAGCGTGTCAAACAGAGTTAACTAGAAGAGGTGGGCTTTTAGTGAATAATTTCAGTTACACTGTAAAGTGTATTTAATAGAAAAAAGAAATACCACTCTCTATGCTGTAATATAAATCTATATATTCAAATATATTGCATAGTTGAACGTCCATATAAACCACGACAGACATCTCTTACACTGATAAAACTATATCAACATTAAATAATTCAATAGATAGAAGCAGTCCAAACCTTTGTTGAAGAATCCTTAAATTCAATGAGGCCGTCCTGTAGAAAATGAATGGAGATGACACGTAAGCTGGCATAGTTGTCAGTAACCAGGGCCATGGTTGTGACCTTGAGACAATACAGCTACTCCTTTGAGGGGGGAGGGAATAAATCTTTTGATGCTGTTAATACTGAACAAAGAAAATCAACATGGAAACAGCTAAATACTAATCATGAAACAACTAAACTATGCATTACACAGAAATAAAATTGTGTACCATTATTTAGAAAAGAAAAAAGGAAATATAATGTAATAAAAGAAGTGTGTATAATCTAAAAAAAAAAGAAACAAAAAGTTGGAACATAAAAGCTAACAAAGGTTAAACTGCAGCACTCTTTGGCACCCAGTTTCATTGGGTAGCCAACGTTGAGGTTTTAAAATTTACTAAATTAAATTAAATGTGCAATGTGATATTGTCTCTAGAAGTCCAATGTGTAATCAAGTGTGTTCTGTCAAACCATATTACCTTACCAAAATAGCAAAAGAGAAAAAACAAAAATGCAAAAAGTGCTGAATCCCATGACCGTTTCAAGGCACATCTTGGTAATCCATGTTCCTGGACAGAAGTGGGGCACTTACAGTTTTAGTGGCTCATCAGAGTAGGGAAGAAAAATATATAAAAATAGATCCTAATGACACGGAGCATCAAACAGTATTAGGAGCAAAGGGTGCATGGATTTTGCCACCCTTAGTCTTCACTGCAGCCTATGCACTTGACATAATGATCCTTGACGGCCAAGGTACTGCTCTTCGAATGGTGAGAAGATGATTATACAGCTGCCAAATCTGCTTTAATGGTAATGCAGGGATCAGGTAATGGGGTTATTATAAAACTTCCCAGAATACGACTAAGAATCTGCATGCTTTTTCATATTGCACAGCTACGACAGGCACTTGGATCGATCATCAGACTTTACGGCAGAACCAATTCAGGATCCCATCCTAGAAGGCACATTTCGGCAGATGAAGCTCTGAGTAATGCAGGAGATACCCTTTATATTCTCACGGGATTCAATCATCATCTTCCGTGCTTTCTTCCACAACAAAAAAAAAAAAATTACCCAAAAAAATAACTTTCCACGGCTTATCTTGAAGGTTTGCTTGTAGCCAATTCGCTCAATTACAGAATGAAAAAAAATGACTGCTTAGAAATATTGAGGCACTTTGGAACAAGCTCTCTTGCACAAATCTTCACTCTATGTACAAAATATAAATACATCTGCTAGGTCCTTGAAGATTGAGCTTTTTATTACTCATTTTAGAAAAATACTTTGTAAAAAATAGAGTCCATACACGGCAATTTCAAAATACAAAATAACAAAAAGAAAAAGGGAACAAAAAAAATCTCCAGCGATTTTCCAGCAGACTATTGGCACCCAACTTGAAGGAAGATGGACTCTTGTGTTCCACACAGGTCAGCCTATTATGGATACAGCCTTCCTCATGCTATACTAACCTTTACTGCTGAGGAATGTGATGGAGAAGAATGCGTATCAATTTTGCGTCGTTTTTGTTCTGTAAAAAAAAACAAAAGTAAAAGATGTGTAAGTGAACCAGCTATTCCCAAATAAAACCTAAATGTAATTATAAAAAGGTCAGGTGAAAGTATCTTTAGAACAAAGTAACCTAACCTGAAAAAAAAAAGAAAACCAAATCAGATTGGGTTTAAAGGGACTGAAATTCGGCTTAAAAGGTTAAATCTTTATAGGTCAAAGTGCCTGATAATAATAATGTAACCGCTAACCAAAGGTTAAACCTGCAGCACTTTTTGGCACCCAATTTCATGGGGTTACCAATTCTAAGGATGAAACTTAAGCTTAAGCCTTTATAGGTCAAAGTGTCTGTGCCCTCTGCACAAGCTCATGTTTTGTATCTAGACGGGAAGGGTGGTGGTGGGATGTTTTATCTGGGACAACATGGAAAGCTCAATTAAGTTTCAATTTTTGCACAAAATTGTGGTCCACTTATCTTTTAAACCCCCACCTCCCCATGTAAAACACAGAATATATATATAATAAAAATTAGGATAAAAGTTAAATAAATCTAACATACACCACTGGCTCTGCCCATGGCAAATGATGAAGCATTTGCTTCCAGGATTTGTAATGCTCTGTTTTCACACAGGAGGAAGCCAGGTGTAAAAGCAAGTATAGTCTGATTTTCCTTCAAATGTCTGACTTTTTGTTTTTGGACAAGCAAATTGGCATTTTACCTGGGTGTGGTTTAGAAACTGAACAGTCCTTTATTTACATGCAAGATCCACTTTCAATATATTTTTTAGACATGCCGTTACGTCGACAGCTATCCTTGGCATGTTTAGCAAAGCAACAATACACAATAATTATTATCAACCTTCAGCGATGCACTACTAATGATTCAAGATAACCTTGAAGATCATTAAATAAAGTGAAAAAAATAAATATATCCTACCCCTCTCAGACTCCGATGTGTCAGATCGGGGAACAGGCGACTTCAAGGACCCAGCAACGGCTGTCTTATCTCCACCTTTAGAGCTTTCCTTTATTTTAGACTCCTTCAACAAATCTCGCTCTCTAGAGGGCTCCTTCTCTCTTTCCTTCTCTGCAGCCAGTTTTGCCTCAGTACCAGGTGTAGCAGCTTTAGATTTTTCTTCCTTCTGAGATTTTTCTTCTTTTTTGAGCTTCTCCTTTTCTTTATCGGATTTCGGCGTTTTGTCTTTGACGTCTTTCAGCTTTTCATCTTTATTTGCCCGATCTTCCTTTGTTTTATCTTTGCCATCCTTTCCTGGTGCCTTGGTCTCTTGTGGGGCAGCTGGAGTCTTCTCCTTCTTGTCTTTCTCTTTTTCTTTACCAGTTTTATCTTTGTCTTCTTTTTCTTTAGTAACTTTGCTAAAAAAAGAAAGAAAAATGATTAAATTAACTAAACACACCAAGTTACACAAGATATGTTTTTACCAAGCATTGTAACACCATGATTTATTGTTGAATTTAAAAATAACTATAGGCATTCAAATTAAAAACAGTTTATTTTTAAAGTTGTCATTATAGTGTATTTAAACCCGAGAACAAAACTAATATACTGCAGCTTACCAGTTCTTATATCTGGGAGCTACATTAGTTATATTGTCTCAGGCTATTTTTCCTTTATGTTCACCTGGTAATCCTGCCAGTAACACACTTTCTATCCTAGGGTGACACTCACTCACTGTACTTTATGGAGGAGCAGCGTTGTCAACCTAGGAAGGAAGTGGTTAGGACTACAGAACACCACTCTTTTGCCATAACACTGGGGGATGTAGTGTTCACAGAGAGAACTGGAAACAATGCTCATCACATATGCAAAGCGCACACCTTGTCAGTTCACCAGATTTATAGCAGGATGAACAGGCATTGTCTGCACTTAGCGTACAATTCAAACAAAATGCTTTCAATCTTTAATTTACAGACCAAAAGAGAGCAAATGAGAGAAGTTAATTGTTAAGGTTTACATAAACTTTAAAGCAGACCTACAGTCTGCTAACACTGCTACTTCTTTTAACAGCTGGTTGGATCCAGACATAATTGTCAGGATCCGCTTCAGCGTCTCGGTATACCACGAGCAGTAGCTTGCGGTATACTGTGGCGTCTCAGTATACCACGAGCTGTAGCTCGCGGTATACTGAGCTTAGGGTGACGGGAGGACGCTAGTTTGTGTCCTCCCGTTACCCTAAGGAGAACTATGGGGAAAAGCCTTAACCCCATAATTCTCCTTTAATTCATATATTTGGACAGGGAAGGGCAAAAAACATTACAAATGTTGATATTACCCACAGTATGATGCATTATTAAAACAGAGAAAACCAATACAGAAAGAGAAAATGCAGTGAGCAGCGAATGATTTAAAAAAAGAAAAAAGAAGAACAAATTAATCTAAAGCACTTCATTAGCAGAAGTTAGTATGTATGTAAATACATTTTTGTTTATCCACATTAATTTTTTGTAGTGCATATATGCTGCCATGGAGAAAGCTCTTTCTCCATTCTCATTAGCACAGGCCTGAGAGAAGAATAAAGCAACCCTTCCCAGGTTTTCTCCATGTCATAGCCCAGGAACACCTCTCATACAGTTACAGGTCCCAATGCTAGTTAGGTCTGCATAAGCACCTATGCAAAAAAAACAAAAAAACATTGACTACTTGCTGCAGCAGCCTGAAGACTGAACAATAAGTACCAAAAGGCCACAGGTTTAGCCCAAGGTTGTTATACCTATATAACAGACCACTGAACAATGTACAGAATACATACCTGTTTGAGGAGCTGTTTCCATTGTTTGTAGTAACTTTTGGTGTTGCACTACCAGTCTTGGTAACAACTTTTGCAGCACTCTGAGATTTGTCTTTTAATTTTTCTATTTGAAAAAAATAAGCACAATTACATACTGAACAGCTTTAAAAGCTACAATTAACACAAAAATATATGACCTATGAAAACTGGAGATAGTAAGAAGCCTAATATTTATATCAAAAATGTATATGACAGAGTAAACTCAGGAGTTAAATCTTAACAATTCTGTACCTTACTTGTGCATCACTCAGCTGTGGAACCTCAAATCATATCTGAATTCATGCTGACACAGTCCTTCCTTCTGGAGGGTGGCTACTTTTTCTTCTCCATGGTCCCTGCGTGTGTTGCAAAGTAGCCACTACTCCAAGCTCGCTCCTGTGACGGACTCAATCTCAATGTGTATTAGTAAACTAAACATGAGATTTTAGTCTATCACAGGAGTGAGCCTGGAGCTATAGTACTTTTGTTCCCCCATGGTCCACACAGGGACCATGGGGAACAAAAGTAGCCACCCTCCAGAAGGAAGGACAGTGTCTGCACATATTCAGATATGATTTGAGGATCTACAGCCGAGTGATACACAAATAAGCTACATTTTTGTTAATAGTTAAGGTAGTTGAAATCATTTTTAAGATTTAACTCCTGAGTTCAGTGTCAATTTAAAGATTCAGAATACCATTACTAACCAGCATCCTCAGCAGTGCTTTCTTCAGGCTTAGTTGCGTTTACCATGACTGACGCAGATTGACTGACTGTACCCGGACCATTCTGTGCTGGAGCTGGAATGGCACTCCTGGCAGGAGGATCTTTGTGATGAAATTCATTCTCGGGTACCATGAAAGGTTTCCTGCTTTTCAACTGTCCAGAGTAGCTGCAATTCGCACAAAGTGTTAAATATAGCAGGAAATGGCACAAATATACTGTAATTCCTGTGAAGCTTTGTGATAAATTATTGCCTCTTTTTTAAACTTAAATGGTACCTTTAAGATGGAAAGCACCCACAAGAGTACACATGTTCTGAATCACTGTGTACAGCAATTATATCAATCTATCTGAAGTATTTCATATAAAACATTGTAAAACAAAAAGCAACTCTATTCAGGATTAAAAAGGTATGCAACATAGAATTTTAAGTAGTGAAGAACGAATTGCTCTCTAAAATTTGATATGGGACTAAAATACAATTTTAGGCACTCTCGAGAACAAACTCAAAACATCCAATTCCATTAGCTACAGCTGTTCTATATGAATTTTTAGAAGCTTACCAGAAATTCTAGGTAGGTGCTTTCCTACATAAAATATCAGTTACTGCAATATTTCAGGCATTTAGTCCCAATGTCATAAGGGAGCCTGATTACTGGTAATATTTAATAGATGCAGTCCCTACATAAGTGTTGCCTGGTCAGATTGGTCTCTAGAAAACAAAGCTTGCCAAGATCTATATATAAAACTAAAAAAAATTTAAAAAAAATAAAAAAATTGACAACAGCATTCATAAATGATTAAAAATGATTTTTCTAGATTAGAGAGTTCCTTTCTCTAATCTAATCTTTACCCCATGGCCAATGCATAAAGATCAGGTCGTTTCTCCTTCTCCTCTTGACAGATTTTGTGCACTCTGCGCTCCAGAGCTTGTCCCAGATTAAAGACTTTGGGATACCATGGTAATATTTTAGTGAGCACAATAAGAATATTCCTGATGTGTGTAAACTCGCCAGTTTCAAGGCAATGAACTGAAGCCTGCAAAACAAGATTCAATGGTTGTAGCTGTTTGAAAGAAGATGGACATGACCCACATGGAAGATTACAACCTGTACTCCCCAACAAAATCAGCTGTGTACCAGTTTTCTCTTCATTTAGTTTTTTCTTATGAGACAGAGGGCCTTTGTCACTTTTGCCTAAGGGAAACCTGATATACAGCAATGAGTTAAGATTTTACAATCAAGAAAACCCTGCAGCAAGCAAAATCAGAAAGTTCAATCATTTTACTTAAAATGACACTAAACTCAGGAGTTAAATCTTAAAAGTGCATTTAAATACCTTAACTATTTATACTGTACCATATTTGTGTATCTCTCAGCTGTAGATCCTCAAACCATCTCTGAATTTGTGCACACACTGTCCTTTCTTCTGGAGAGTGGCTACTTTTGTTCACCATGGTCCCTGTGTGTGTTGTAAAGTAGTCACCACTGCAAGCTCACCCCTGTGATGGACTACAATCCCGATACAAATTATTAAACTAGACATGAGACTGTAGATCCATCACAGGAGTGAGCTTGGAGTGGTGGCTACTTTACAACACACACAGGGACCATGGGGAACAAAAGGTAGCCACCCTCCAGAAGGAAGGAGGGCCAGCACCAATTCAGAGATAATATGATACACAAACAGGCTACATTTTGGTTACTAGTTAAGAAACTTGAATTTTTAAAATGTAACTCCTAAGTTTAGTGTCACTTTAAATATGAGTAGGTATAATCTCAGCCAACTCTCCTGTAGCATGCTGGGAGGGTGCTTCTTGAATCCAGTCTAATTTTCTCACTCTGCTTCTTGTATAACCAAATCACATTCAAACTTCCACAGTAAGTTTGAATCAGATTAATTGCTAGAGAAATTTCCAAATAGAGGCTTTCAGTATGTGGGAGAGCAAGGGACATGTAATGGGTGTGTTCTAAGGTAGCTCTTCACCCTCTTCAGATCAACAGATTACATAAAATGAGGAAGGGATGTGGTGGACTGGAGCATTACGGAAATGCTTGGATGCTGTATATTTGCATTTAAAAGCACTTATAGATTACTCAGTTATAAAACTATAGTGACATACATTGAAAAGCATCGTTTTACAAATTTATAACAAAGAACATTTACAAATAGATACATAGATGTATTAAACATACAAAACACAAAAAAAGAAGCTAGACCAGTGTTTTCCTTAACTAGCGGAAGGAGATGATAAAAAAGTGAATGATTTCTTTGAAGTATACCTGAAGCCCAAAACAGGATTAATGTACTCACTATAAAATTATTTTCTTGGCGTTGATTAAAGGGACGCATGAGGTATTTCACCTTCAGGTTGCACTACCAACTACAGGGGGATTGCAAACTGGCAAAGAAAAAAACCTTTAGTCCAGCCAAGGATAATCCCTCCGACCACCAGCATGCTTCAACTTTGTTGCCGAGCAGTAGCAAAAGCATGATCATAAAACAGTGTCCGTGCCCCTCAATGGACTTCAAGAAAAGGATTTCAAGGGGAGTACAAAAATACCATTTTCTTTCATGTCCGTTGAGCGACACCGGAATCCTTTCCTCTTCAGGACGTCCAAAAGCAGTCCAGCTAAGGGGTGGGAAACACAGCAAACAAATGTGAACAGGCAAAGGAAACAGAAAACTGGGGACTGCCTGCAGCTCAAAGAGCAAACTGAAGGGCCTTACGACCAAAGCTGTCATCAGATAAGGCCTGAACTTCCACTTGGTAAAACTTAAGACGTGAGCACTCAATCGTGAGCACAACTGAGGCATCCTGGTACTAGGAAGGTTTATCCGGTCTGGCCTACGGTTTCGTTTTGTTTGCTTGTGTACAATCCTCCTATAGGCAGCAGTAAAACCTTAAGGTGAAAGGCTTCCTGTGTCCTCAATGGATGAGAAAGGAAAAAGTTTTGGCTATAGACATACTAAATTTAACAATGGGAGATTGGGGCTTTATCAATGAACACCAAGTAAAGTAAGGAAAGCAAGAAGTAGAGCTTTCGTAATTTTTAAAGCTGAAGGTTACCTTTGTTAATTTATAATGCCATTTGTGAACCACATGACGGAAGTTCTCATAATCCAGCTGATCAGCCTTGTTACCACCATCAAAATTTGATGCCCTTAATATTGTCACAAATCCTGGATAGCTTCCACAATCCTAGTAAAAGAAAAAAGAAAAAAGTCAGAAAGAAAGTAGATACAGAACAAATGAAAAGGAGGAGAGGAACGTAAGGAGCAATAGTGTTTTGCAATGAACTGTTTGAAATCATCTCATTCTATCAGCATATGTAACTGCAAGCTTAACAGGATTACCACATTTTAAAGTGCACACACACACTAACTGATAATTATGGCTCTCATCAGCATACAAACTGACCTGTGTTACTAGCAGATGAGGTTAATGAGGTGCAGTGGCACAGCTAGACATGGAAGAAGAACATGCTGCAGCGACAGCAGATGCTGCCCTCCTTCCAGCCGCCACACAGCCAATGGCTCTAGGGAGGGCTGTACGTAATTGTTTATACAAATGAAGAACTATCAGCTACCAGGCTTAAAATACTAGCATGAAGAAGTTTCTTAAAACTAGCAGCCTAGAAAAATCCCAATTTAAAACAGACACTGTAATGAAGAACATTTTTATCGATAAGTGCATTTGGGGTTGCTTGAAAACTAAGCGGCACAGCAACACATACTCATATATTAAATGTACAACAATCCACACTTATTCATGTACAACAGTCTACATGAATTCATGTACAAAAATATGGTGATCAAGGCAATCAGGGGTGCCGTAGCTTTCCAAGAGCAATTTGTTAACCAATCGCTGGCGCTTTCACTATCGATTGCTGACAGGCGGAGTGCATTTGGTATTACTCCGCCTGTGACAGGAGCCGGCGCTATGGAGGAAGCATCTGCTTATGTGGCTCTGCTCCCTCCGCTGCCGCCTCGCTTCCTCAAGCGATGGCTTCGTTGCCACCTCTGATTCTCCCCCGCAGCTCTTCAAATTCCCCGTTATGCCACCACCGGCCCTGGGAATGATCAAAACTAGGTCTTATTTTCGGGGTAGGTATTATATTTTAGCAATTTCCCAAAATAGTACTAGGTCTTATTTTCGAGGAAACATGGTCGTATGGGAGACAATACGCAAGTATAAATAAAATAAAAATACAATTGCTCATTTAACATCTTTTAAAATTATTTAATTGATCCAGGAGTAAATGTAAACTAACTAACCCTTGTAGTATAGTATTTGCAAAGACAACCCCATTCTTCGGTCTCTGCAAGAATAAACACTATGTCCATGTCTCTTTACTTATAACAATGTATTGTGGGGACTCAAACAATTAATTAAATGTATATCAACTCTGATAGGCCCTTAGGCTACATTATTAGGCCCTGTTCACACCTAGGCTTTTTGTCGTGTGTATCTGTGCACACAAACACTCTGGACAAGAAATGTATTTCTATAGCCTCTGATCACACCTGAGCATAGTTTTGCACTTAGAAAAACACCCGTCATTTGAAAAAGTACACAGGCTTCTTTTTTTGGCAGCTTACAGTTCATTTTGTTCTCATAGACTTAAAAAGGCAACGTTTGTTGTACTACCAAAAACTAAATAAAAATTATTTAAATCGTAAAAAGGCAATGTTTGGAGATGTGCAACGCAACTATTTGTGCGCACATTTTACTCACGTTTGCCCATATACATCAATGTGTCGCAATCTGCTTGCAAAACACACAACTTAATGTAAGCGCATGCACAAAAGCGTGCAAATACGCGCAAAAACGCGCAAAAACGCTGTCTCCTACGTGTGAACAGGGCCTTATCACTAAACGTTGATGATCTAACAGATCAGTTTTAAGGAAAATCTAGATGGCATGTGACCTACTGTAGTATAAGCTTTTACTGTGTCATCAGCCCACATGCACCACAGCCTACAACACAACCTAGTGCATATATGATGATAATGGGAAATGGCAAAAAATAACAGACTTGAACTTATGCACATATGCTAGTGGACTACTCTATTTTTTGTTACAGTTTATTCTTTTTACCCTGCTGCATGCACCATGGAATCTGTGGCACCTATGGGACGGTGGGGCAGCAAAAAGCTTAGCCTTGCAGGGCCACCCACAGCTATCCATAAACGGCTGGAATGTCAGCCAATTCCTACTGAACTGGGCGAAATCCGAGCCAAGTATTGCAAGCTTTAGTCTTCGTCTTTAGAGAAATGGGATCTCGAGGGAGTTGAGTATTGTGGATAAGGGAGAGAGAACATTTGAGGGGTTCTTAACTACAACTATCCTTAACCTATCAAAAAAAAAAAACAGAGATTTTGCCTCACCCAGGTATGCAGAACCTTGGGAGAAGGGGGCTTTGAAAGATACTCAGTTCTCACTACAAAATTGATAAAAAGTTGAAACATATTTTACTACAAATTTAGAGTAAAAAACATATTTGTAAATACAAAAAATTCATATCAATACATTAAAGGTCCACATGCCAAGCAATGCAGGTTGTACTACAATGATCTAATTGTTATTTGTGGACATTCGGGGGATTATAGTTTTTCTAGGTTCCTGAACATGTTTCGCCACTTTCTGGCTTCCCCCAGGAAGACTAAAAAAGTCCAGAATACTACAACTTATGGACCAGCCAGCAAGATGGACTGAAACAACGGAGTTGCTGGCGGTGGATGCAGTGGAGTCCTCGCGATGTGTGGGTGGTCTGGGTTTGCCTTCGTTGCACCCCTCCACGGGAGTCGGTCTCCGATGTTTTGGTCCATAAATTGCAGTATTCTAGGCTTTTGAAGTCTTCCTGAGGAAGCTGGGAAGCGGAGAAACATGTTGAGCAACCTAGAAAAACTATCCTCCAATTTATCTACAAATAACAAATTAGATCATTGTAGTACAACCTGTATTGCTTGGCATGTGGACCCTTAATTTAATTAATGTATGCATATATGAATTTTTTGCATCTACAAACATGATTCTTACTTTGAATTTGTAATGAAATATGTTTTAACTTTCTTTCGATTTTGTAGTGCGAATGGAGTATCTTAAAAGCCCCCCCCCCCCCCAAGTTTGCAACCCTGGGGGGGGAA